GTCACCTACTTGATCTGCGTGCGTAATTTCCATCTGCTTTAATGGAAATGGCCCAGATGTACCGAGAGGAGATTGCGTCTCTTGTTTCTCTGTGCTCCCACCTCTCAAAACGACTGCCCCTACCGTTTTACAGTCGCCATCTTGCCCAGGATGGGGAGCAACTTGTCTGCCTGGGGGCACTCTGATGAGGAGCAACAAAGGTCACCTACTTGATCTGCGTGCGTAATTTCCATCTGCTTTAATGGAAATGGCCCAGATGTACCGAGAGGAGATTGCGTCTCTTGTTTCTCTGTGCTCCCACCTCTCAAAACGACTGCCCCTACCGTTTTACAGTCGCCATCTTGCCCAGGATGGGGAGCAACTTGTCTGCCTGGGGGCACTCTGATGAGGAGCAACAAAGTGTAGGGCACACTGCAGGCTTGCTGGCTCTCGCCTTTCGCACAAAAGCCAACAGCCAGCACACAGCTGATAAGTGTTGGCAGGAGTTTGCTCCCCTAATTATTCTTCCTTGCATGCATATGCAATTTTAATATAGTTCCACTTATCAGCCCTGTTGTTATCAGAGGTGCATGGACTGACCTGCTAATCGTAACCAAAAATGAATGGAAATTATAAGTAGGCAAGACTGTGGTCTCCGGAGCACTCGGCAAGCAGCTTCAAAGGGGAACTGAAAAGGGAAGCAGCATGTGTTGCCCATGCAGCTGTAGATAAAGCGGACCCAATGTCAGTTACCGAGGGGCGTGGCCGGGAGGCAAGAAATAAAATGGAAGGAGCGTAAATAGGAGGTGAAGCACTGGCCTTGGGGAGACGCGGCGCCCTCTTCAGCCCCCGACAGCTCAGCAAATTGCAGAAACAAGACTCTTGCATTTCAAAAAGAAGAAAGTGCATACTTTGCGAGTGTGTGGTGGCTCTAGAAAGAGAGAGGCTTCAGCAAGGCCAGGCAAATCAATTCCACTTTTACCATCTCCCTATATCGTAGGGAATAGATCCTCACGTGAATTGTGACTAGGGATATTAAAGTGCTTTTATTTGTGTAAATGTGTAACCGCTGAATTTTTCAGTAGTTGCATGCTCCTGTTCTCCCCTCCCTCCTCCTCTTCCTACTGCTGCCTCTGATAAAGAGGTGGCTCCACAGAGGCAGGGTTTCACAGGGATCCATCTTAAAATCTGGCTGCCCACATGCACCAGCTCCAGCCTCTCTCCTCCCCCTGCTGCTGCTTCTGATACAGAGGCAGCAACTCGAGGTTGGGGGTGGGGAAGCTGCATGTAACCTAGAGGATTAACCAATGAGCCCAGATTCATCACTTAACTGTGTGCTCGGGTACATGGTTACATCCCGAATTGTGACATCACAGTTGCAGCAGCGTGGCATCAAAGAATCCATTCAGAGTTACACCAGCTATGTATCTGGCCTGGCCACTGTGGGTTATTGCCAAATAGCTCCATGAGTTTATTTAGATACTTCACAAAACATTTTTCATTCATCTTTTCAGAAGTTTTCTTTAAAACGCCACAGATCCATTTTGGCTGTCAAGATAAAATATCTTATCAGTACAGAGGGGCAACAGAGTCCATAAACATGCTTTCATGTTGGTGAGGCTAAAAGAAAGAACCGATGAGCTTGTCTTGAATATCAAAAAATTGGTTGGCGTGTATTTGAGTTGCCTGTACATACATCTCAAGAGAGAGGCTTTTGAACATGATGTTTCTTAGCCATAGTTTGGTAAGTCACACTTAAATAGTACTGCGATAAACACATTCAAAGTGAATCTATGGAAGGCTGCTTGGAGAACTGGCCAGAAGATACATAGCTCTATAAAATAGAAATAAATTGTTTATACGTGCAAAATGAAACTGGTTCAATGAACACATTTTCTTTTGTACAAGTACATGCAAAATAAAATATAATTTAATCCATTCCATATGTATAGCAAAGGATCTTTAAAAGGATGTTTATTGGTTTTCAGGCTAATACAATATTGGTGGGAGAAAACTGTATAGACAACAAGAAAAAGATTTATAGAGCGGGAAAAGAGGATGGGTAGGAAAATATTCATGATCTGATCAATTCTGGCTTTTGCGCCCTGCTGCTTCCTGGAGAGAAATCACATCCCACTGCCTTCAGGATAATAAATTGATAGTGTTCATGTGTTTGAGCATCTATACACAAAAAAGAACTTAATTCTGAGCTGAAGTTGCTCCTCACAGTAAAAGAGACATTATAGAAGGAAACCCTAAGGCTACGTCTATACTGTAGCCTTCTTGTGGAAAAGCATATGCAAATGAAGCGCAGCATGGAATATCGCCGTGCTTTATTTGCATAAGTAATGAGCAGCCGTTTTTGTGCAAAAGGCTTTTGCGCAAAAACGAGCCACGTAGACAGCTCCTTTTTGTGCAAAACCCCCCTCTTGCGCAAGAGCCGTTCTTCCTCATTAAGGTGGTTTCAACCTTTTTTTTATTTGGGGATCCCTAAAAGATTTCACAAGCAGGAATTTCCCTTTGGAAATTCAGCCTGTGCTCTGCAGACCCCTACAATAGAAGTCTTAGACATGTAACTGATTGAACAGAATTCAGCTATAAATATATCTATATTTTTAACGGAGATTGCCTATCTCCTAGAACTGGAAGGGACTGTGAAAGGTCATCGAGTCCAGTCCCCTGCCTTCACAGCAGGACCAAGTACCATCCCTGACAAATTTTTGCCCCAAATCCCTAAATGGCCTCCATAAGGATTGAACTCACAACCCTGGGTTTAGCAGGCCAATGCTCAAACCACTGAGCATTGGATGCAGCATGAGAAGGGCATTAAACTGTGAGCTTCTTTGGTAATGACAGCACTTACAGGTTTTGACCTAGAGATGGGGGTATTCACATACTTCTGATTGAGCTGAAAAACAGAATGCCCTTTCTGGGATCTGAAACGTTATTTTCATAGTCACCTTTTGTGGATATCTTAGACACAGTCTGTGGAGCCCCCAAGGGTCCGTGAATCACAGGTTGAAATCCACTGTCATAACTATAACATAACCACAGATTTATTCCAAATGTATCTAAATTTTTGGCCTAAATTCTACAGTTACGTTATGTTATCAGACGCTCTCCAGGTTTGCACAACCATAAAAAATCAACATTTAGCATGGGATCATAAAAGGCCTATATTTTCTTCCATGCCCATTTATTGTTTGGAAATGAACAGAAAATGTCTAGGTCATTGTGCAGCGTGTAGGAAGTGACACATGTTGTAGCTGTGCAGTTTGTAATTTTATGAATAGCGCTCCCTCCCCTCACCCCCGCCCCCGTTTAGTGTAACATAAAAAATTAGTACCATGATCAAGCATGTAGATCTGTATGCAAAGAACTGAGCCTCTTACAGCTAGGTTCTGTCGAAAAGAACACACGTGAATGGGTTATTTGCCAGGTGAATCGTTAACTGAAATTCGTTATTATTTTAGAACTACATGCTGGTTATAAACCTTTTTCTACTGACGTACAGCTATGAGCTGTGCTGAGCAAAGTACCTTTTCTTTCACTTTGTTAAAGCTGTAAGAGATGCTGGCTTTTGAGGTCAGAATTTGGTTAGAGGGACAGGGTTGGGTTATGCCTCCTCTCTTTCACCAATAAGCGAAAACTTCGGTGAGCGTCACTGCAAACAGCCTGAGTGCTTTAACTCCCCAACTGACCTAACTGATTTGCAGCTACAAACAGCCCTCTCAAACAGTAAAACCACTCCAAATGGCAGTGTTTTAGTCAGGCTGTGTAAGAATGCTTCTCCACCTCTCGCTGAGTACCCCAGAGGGCCTCAGTCAGCATTTTGCTCTTCGCTACAGCCACCACACTTTTCTCATTAGGAAGACATTGAAGAGACGTCTCTCTTTTTACCTCTCCATCTTTCTCTCTTTCCTTTCTCCTTTCCATTGACGCAGTGGGTTTTTCAACACGTGAAATAAATGCCTGTTTAGTCGGGGTAAGTAATCGTGTTCTCTTTGTAACACAGAAAAACATGAGCCGTTTAATCTGAGACTAATATTTGCATTTGGGAAGTTGTTTTCAGTTGTAATTTTCTGTCTCGGGGTTGCTTTTGCAATTGGGCAGGAAAACTTGAGCTAACCAACTCAAATGCTGTAGAGAACTTTGGTCTCTCTTAATTACTGCTGCTAAATTACAGAGCAGAGAGTTGATTTACTAATATAGGATGTTAATATCTATACTTCAAGTGGGATTTGAGAGGGGAGTGCGTGTGTGGTTTTTTTTTAACTTAGGAAAGTTTAAACATTTTAACTTTACGTAACTGTGACTTTGCTTTGCTTCTCTTTCCGACTTCTCAACCACTTGTAGTTTTTAGAGCATTAAGAATTTACACTGTAAAACATTATGGGAGTCTAAAGCTTATCTTTAGCTTGTAGTTTCAAAATGTAGTGTATGTCCTCTCAGCTGCTGTGGGGATTTGTGTGGAATGACAAAATGCAAATCTTGGACCTTTTGACAGCTGTGTTTAATAGAAGCTAAGATGTTATTTTTAACTCTTGGGTGTTGGGTTTTTTTTTTATTAAAAACATTAGCACACATTCTAAAGGGAATGTAGACTTTCTCTGATGCAAACTAAAACAGAATTTTTTTCTTTCAAGTAAAACAAAGGGGTTTTAAGTATCTAGTAAAACATGCTCAATGTTAGGGCTTTAGAATACTTTTGCAATTAAGCAAGTAACAAGTCACATTTCACAGGTTCACTGGTTAGTCATAAATGACACATGGTGGGATGACAAGAAAAGATTCTTCTCGCAAATTCAAATTAGCTCGTAAACTGCAGAATTCTGGTCTGTATTAAGTTACTTTAGCTATTTGCTGCTATAGACGTATGTAACATCCTCTTCTATTTGCATTTGTTTAGCAGGGCAAATCATTTGTATGGTTTGAGATTCCAGCTTTCTTCAAGCAGATGTGTTTATCTGTGCAAGTAATTGGAGAGGCAGACATAGTGGTCTGTGTATACAGACAGAGCACATATCCACTAGGGAGGGAGTAGATTAAGACAATTCTTAAAATAATCAGTTGCAAAAGCTTGAGAACATAGCGCTAAGCAACTGAAGGTGTGAAGTGAGTGAGAGCAGAGAAAAACTGTATATTTCGCATTCTGTTCATAATATTGCACACTGCCCAGTAGTAGGGATAAAAAAAAAATAAAACTGATTCAGTATGATGTTTCTGTAGAGTCAGTGTATGTCCCGTATCCACAGATCTGCGCATAATCCCAACCAGAGGAACAGTTGGTTGATGAGTAAAATCAATGTAAAAAGCAAAAGTTAAGGTCCAGTTTATTTGACTTTATTTCTGTTGAGAGAAAGGGGACATATATGTGTGTGTGTGTGTGTGTGTGTGTGTGTGTGTGTGTGTATATATGTGTATATATTTGCACAAACAAACAGCTGCTCCATTCTGGAGCAGAAAACTGTTCTTGTTCTTAAGGCAAATTCCTCTGAAAGTGTGAATCATTTACTTTGGATTTTTGTGGTGGAGGCTTGGGATGATTAAATGTTCTGTCTGCAGGAAATTACCAGGGGATTTGAGTATTTTCCTGAATCAGCCTCAGATGGTACACAGCTTTTGGTGTAATACAAGAAAGCACTGTTACGGGGCAATCTTTCTGTGCCTTGCTGCCTATCGACAGAGCAGGCTTCCCTGCATTTTTCAAAGCCCAGGTTTTGCAAGGGTATTTTTTTGTTACGTTCCCACTTGCAGCAACATGCTGATTTCTCTAATGATCTTGATTAAGTTATCACTTAGGTCCTTAATTAGCTGCTTGATCTTCTTACGCCTTCAGTGAGGTTATTTTATTTGCTCTTCTGGTGTTTAGAGTCTGTATGGATTATTCCCAGTCTCCTTTGCAAAGGTGTCTCTCTTCTTTGGTAACACTAGCGCTTCAATGAAAGGCCGCGAGCAGGATGAAGCCAACACATAGCAGTTCTGTTTGACTGTTTATGGCATTTGCATTGCACGGTTGGGGGAGTGGGGAAATAAGGACATCATTGTTGTAGCTGCCTGGGCTAGCCGTCGGTGCATCATTCAGGAACAGAAAAAGTGAAGATGTCCAGGGGAACAGGACACTGTCCATGCACGATTGTGTCGCAGCACTGAGCTGCTTCCAGTGAAGCTAAGCAAAACCTTCCTCTTTTGTCAATGATCATTCAGAACTCCAGGGGATTGGATCCCCGGCGGAGGGAAAGCATGGCTTTTAGAATGCTTGTCTCCAGGGCAGATGCCTGTTGGCTTAGAATAGGTCTGTAAGACAGTGATGCGGATTTGAAATAGACCAAAGGGACAGCTGATGGAAGGCTACCTTCATATGCACCCAGCCATTTCAAGTTCCGGGTGGGGGAAAAAAACCCCAACAACCCAGCCACCTAGCCTTTTTTCATGCCATTGAAAACCAGTCTGGTCATTGGTATCTGTAGGTGGCAGTTGCTCCCAAACAGGGCGAGAATCGAACAGAATTACAAAGTGTGTTTGGCCGTGTGGAATAATCATAGACCATCACTGGAGTGGAGGTTGCTGTCTCTAACCCAACCAGGGGCAATAGTTTAAAATGATGTGTAAAAACGCGCAGGCAAGTTGTGTTATTTGGGCACAGAGGGGTGCGTGCAGAGATTTGTGTAGTACAGCTTGAAGAAGGGATTGTGACCTTGGCCCAGCAAGGGTCCACCTAGGCTAGGGAGTGGATCGCATGACTGGGCCCTCCATCTCAGTGGGCTACAAGATTGTCACAACTAAGCAAACGTCTACACTGCAAGCTTATTTTGGAAACAGCTATTCTGGAAGGTATCTTCTGGAATAGCTTATTTAGAAATAGTGGGTACGTCTAAACTACATGCCTCTGCCGGCAGAGGCATGTAGATTTGTTTGTTCAGCAAAGGCAAATGAAGCCGCGATTTAAATGATTGCGGCTTCATTTACATTTACATGGCTGCCGCGCTGAGCCAACAAATGGCTGATCAGCTGTTTGTCGGCTCGCACGCTAGTCTGGACGTTCCCCCGTCGACATCAAAGCCCTTTGTCGGCAGCCCCGGCAAACCTCATCCCACGAGGGATAACGGGGCCGCCGACAAAGGGCTTTTATGTCGGCAGGGGGGGGGCCACAGCCCCGGTAAACCTCATTCCACGAGGAATAACGGGGCTGCCGACAAAGGGCTTTGATGTCGACAGGGGGAACATCCAGACTAGGGGACGAGCTGACAAACAGCTGATCAGCTGTTTGTCGGCTCAGCGCGGCAGCCATGTAAATGTAAATGAAGCCGCGATCATTTAAATCGCGGCTTCATTTGCCTTTGCCTATGTGTCTAATCTACATGCCTCTGCCGACAGAGGCATGTAGTCTAGACACAGCCAGTGTGTCCACAGTACAGGGAAGCCTCAAGATTAGTCTGAGCCAGGGTCCCCTAATGTGGACGTGATATCTTGATGTACAGCCCCAGGAGGCACTGGGGAGGAATAACTTTAGAATGGCCTCGGTGAGAAGCTATTTCAAAATAGCAGCAGTGAAGCGTCCACACAAACTCTCTTCCGAAAGAGCTTTTTCGGAAGAAGTGTTATTCCTCGTGGAATTAGGTTTACCAGCGTTGGAAAAAGCCCTCCGTTATTCCGATTTTCTTTCGATATAATGCAATTGCGGTGTGGATGCTAGTATTGTTTTTCTGGAATAATAGCCGTTAGTCCAGAAAAACGGTGCCGTGTACATGCACCCCAAGACAGTCTCCTGGATAGGGCGGTTTTGCTAATTGCGCTTGGGCACCTTGACTCTGCAGGGGCGCCAATGGTACCATAGCAGCACTTTGATTGGATGCAGGGGGAACGCACGGCTCTCACAGTTAATGTCCTGTGCAGTTGTCACACACCTCACTTCATGCACCCTTGCTTTATGCGTGTGGCACTGTGGTAATACCGGTAGGAAAAAACTATGCAGATGGAAACCAGCAGGATCTGGCAACCCTGTGCATGGCCAACGGTAAACAAAATGCCTCACGGGCCACACGCAGAGCCCCGATAGGCCTCGGGTTGCCCATCGCTGCCTTGGGCCTTCCTAAATTCCGCAGCAAGCAAGGAGGAATGTGCAGCTTTCTTGTCGGGCAATCTGTAGCGTGAGAGGCTGGAGTGTTCACTGGGTCTCACCCAAGAGTTGTGGGGGAGATAGGAAGGTTTTTTGCACCCATTTCCACACTGTCCCCTTGCAAATGTCAGCGACAAGACAACCTGAAATGTAGCTACAGGTCTTCGCATGGTGTATCTGGTAAGGAGTTGGAGGCTGGTAGAAGGGGTGCTGCACTCCGCTTGTGCTAACGACTGTATTTGGTTGCTGTTGGCAAGGGGGACAGTGCGTGGGTGGAATGAAGTGGTGTGTTACTATTGCACCCTGCCAGTATCGTGGGAGTACCGTGGCGCTATCAGAGCTCCTGGGCCAATTCATTTACAGTTTCTTTGGAAATTCCACAGTGTTTAATCTTGAAATGCCCTTTGAGGTCCTCCCGTCTGTGAAAGCGCACCCCGCCGAGTCACAGAGAACGTATGTTCCAGATCATAAACCACCTTCCTCTTCTAATTAAGAGCACAGCACCGTGTGCCTTTCCACTGCACTGCTCGCAGGCGCACACCTAGTGGCTTTTGTAGGAAATGGCATGTTATTGTCAAATTAGCACATTAACACAATGCGGGGAGGAAACTCTTCATAACGTCCTGTGGAAAACCCATGGAAGAGGTACAGCATCTGTAGTAATGAGTTAGTGTTACTTAATGCAGGGTCAGTTTTGTTTGCGTTCATCCATTGGGGAAGGAGCTGGGACAGTATCCTCTGATGACAAATGTCAGTTATCAATATAGAAACAGCTCCTTATTAAAAAATATCATTGGAGCTGGGGACATGCCTGTGACTAAGCACCAGCCACTATTGGAGCCCCATTGTAGTGGGCGCTGTCCAAA